ATTATATATTATATATACACATATTATCTATATCTTCTATATAGTATTATTATTGTTAATTAGCAATGTCTTGTGAAAAGGAATATTGTAGAGAAAGGTTTATTTATTGGTTTGAATTAAAAAATGCAATTTATAAATATGGTAAACAAAGAGAATGCAATAATTGTAAAACAACAAGATACTCTGATAAATATTGTGAAAAGTGTATTAGTCTACACTTACAGAGCCTTTTCAGTACTTGGACATCTGGAAATGAGATAATTGATGGTTTTATTCAAAAATGTCAACAGCTTTCATCTCTTCCAGTTAGAATTATAGAATGGATACCTTATGAGCAATTTGATAATATAAAAAAATTAACTAAAGGTGGATTCAGTTCTATTTATACTGCTGGATGGACAAGAGGACATATTCATGATTATGATGAAAATAAGAAGTTTATTTATTTTGGGAATCAGGATGTTGTATTAAAATCATTAAATAATTCAAGTAATCCAGGAAAACCTTTTTTTGATGAGGTAATTGATCTTATTTAAAATAAACTTAATTAAACCATTTATTTTAAATTAATTAATTTTATTTATAATTTCAGGCATTGAATTATTGTAAAATTAAATCAGCCTCAATTATTCCTTGTCATGGTATAACTAAATTCCCAGAAAATGGAAATTATGCAATGGTTCTTAATTATGCATCAGAAGGAAATTTAAGAGATTATATACAAAAAAATCATTATAATTTAACATTAAAAAATAGAATTAATATTTTTAGAGGTTTATGTGAAGCATTATATTATATACAAAATTTAATTAATAAATTTATATTTGCATATTTACATACATATACATATCACATATCACACATACAATCACATCTACATAGTCATGCACATTCTCATATATGCACACGAATAGAGAAAAATCAATAAATAGATTTACATTTTTTAATTAACACTTAAATGATTTAAATAATAACATTTTCAACAAAAGTATGCAAAGATCATTTTGTTCTTTAAATATTATCAATCGATTGAAAAAAAAAAAAATAATAATAATTTATATTTATAATTAACTATATACTTGTATATTTATTTATCATAATTAATATGAAAGATGATATTTAAAAATAGAAGGTTAATAACAATTATTTGATTCATTCATCTATTCTATATTTTAATTTAGGAAAAAATACCAATATTGATAATCACTGGATAGTGCATATATTTGCGGCTATGGGTGCAGGTGCAACAAGCGCAATAGTTACTAATCCATTATGGGTGATCAAAACAAGATTTATGGTAGATATAAGATAAATAATATAATTAGATATTTTGCGAGAAGGAAAAAGATTAATCAATAATTATTGTTATTAATGATAATTATTAGACACAAAATCAATCAACATCCTACAAATATAGAAATACATTACATGCTTTCACAACAATATATCGTCACGAAGGGATGAAAGGCTTTTATAAAGGTCTTGGCCCCTCTTTATTGGGTGTTACTCATGTGGCAGTGCAATTTCCTTTATATGAAAAGATGAAAATTTGGCTTAGTAAGTATTTTTATATTTTTGGAAAAATTAAATGCGTATTTAATTAATCTGTTTGTTTGTTTGTTTGTTGATTTTTCAAGGATCACCAGACAAAGAATATATATCCAACGTATCGATTTTATTTGCCTCATCGATTTCAAAAATGACAGCGTCATTAGTAACTTATCCACATGAAGTTGTTCGAACAAGATTACAAAATCAAACTGTCAAACCTTTTAAATATAAAGGATTATGGGATAGTGTTAAAGTGATAAAACAAGAAGAAGGTTTTTTGGCTTTTTATAAAGGAATGTCGACAAATTTACTTAGAACGGTTCCTGCAAGTGCCTTAACCATCTTAACTTATGAAGTGTTGGTTAGAAAATTGAATGCAAATAATTCAAAAAAACAACATTAGCTTATGACCGACTTAACTTACAAAGTGTTATTTGCTGAAAATTTGAATCAAAAAAAAAAAAAAAAACAATAATAATAATCAATCTTTTTATGTAACCAGTAGTAATTCATCCATTCATCCATTCATTCATCCATTCATTCATCCATCATCATCATCATCATACATTTATTGATTCGTTTATCACATCCTACCTAATCCACCTAACCGATATTTAATCATCACACTCAACATGCTCTCATCTCACCCAATTCAAGCTAATCATTTAGTGATCGCTTATTTGCTATGCTATGATGACATAATAGACATTTTAATATTGACAATAAAAAATAGTTCAACTATTTTTTAGGATGGAATTTGAAAGACAGACGATTTGTTATATTTATTGTTTTTTGTTAAATATTTTATAATAGTCGCGTGTAATAAAAAAAAACAATATTAAAGTAGAATGCATTTATTTATTGATGCGACGACTGCATTTAATATCTAATACTAATACTAATGATCATAAAAAAAAAATACCTTTTTTGTTGGGTTGAATAAAATTCATTATGTAAATAATGAACGAATATTTAAATAAAATAAAAGGATATTTATTGTATTACCTGCCCAACAGAATCATGGTGCTCTCTACACTTATTAACTCAAAGATGGACCGAGTGATTAAAAGCGCACAACCTTTTAATAATTGATATCAAAAGTCAAAATTATCTCAAAGTTAAATTTTAAATGCAAATTTGTCTTGAAGTTGATTGTATTGTTGTGTCTCGCGGGTGATTGATTGCTTTGTTTTTGAAATTAATTCATCATTTAAAGTCCGAAATCAAGGGAACTGAAAATAATGAGTATGATAAGGATGGATAATATAAAGTTTTAACTGAACTTGAAATCTGGAAAAAATGGACTTTCAATCCGAAAAATTGGATTTACTTTTTTTGTTTTATTATACTATATTCAATATTTTTATTGTAAAAAAAATCCAAGATACTGCTGCATGCAAGGAAATTCCGAATGATCCATTAAAGTACGTTGGCTCATTCTTAATATCCCACAAGATTAGGAAGGTGAAAATTATGACAAGAGAAACAATTGGGTAAAATTAAGCATCTTTAATATTGATTTTGATATGTTAAAGGAATACGAAAACAAAAATTTAGATTCTTATCAAATCAGTACTCCTGAAGGCTAAATAATGTTGATTTGCAAAAAAATACACAAATTAATTTTTTTAAAATAAATATTAAAAAGTTAAAATGTCCGTTAGATTATTAACACCAGACAGAAGAGTACTAGTATATAAAATTCATAATGAAATGAATGTTATTGCTCATTATGCTTTTCCAAATGATTCTAATTCTGACAATGAAAATAGGAAAAGTTATTTTTTCCATTTAGTCAAAGGAAACCAAGAACTATCAGAAAATGAAAAGGAATATTGTAGAGAAAGGTTTATTTATAATTTCGAATTAAAAAACGCCATTCAAAAAACTGGCAAACGAAGAGAATGCAATAATTGTAAAACAATAAGATACTCTGATAAATATTGTGAAAAGTGTATTAGTCTACACTTACAGAGCCTTTTCAGTACTTGGACATCTGGAAATGAGATAATTGATGGTTTTATTCAAAAATGTCAACAGCTTTCATCTCTTCCACAGTGTATTATAGAATGGATACCTTATGAACAATTTTATGATGTAGAAAAGTTAACAGAGGGTGGATTCAGTTCTATTTATAATGCTGGGTGGACAAGAGGATATATTGATGATTATAATGAAAATAAAAAGGAGTTTAGTTATTTTGGAAGTCAGGATGTTGTATTAAAATCATTAAATAATTCAAGTAATCCAGGAAAACCTTTTTTTGATGAGGTAATTGATCTTATTTAAAATAAACTAGATTAAATCATTTATTTTAAATTAATTAATTTATTTATTGTGAAAAGTGTATTAGTCTACACTTACAGAGCCTTTTCAGTACTTGGACATCTGGAAATGAGATAATTGATGGTTTTATTCAAAAATGTCAACAGCTTTCATCTCTTCCACAGTGTATTATAGAATGGATACCTTATGAACAATTTTATGATGTAGAAAAGTTAACAGAGGGTGGATTCAGTTCTATTTATACTGCTGTGTGGACAAAAGGACATATTCATGATTATGATGAAAATAAAAAGGAGTTTAGTTATTTTGGAGATCAGCATGTTGTATTAAAATCATTAAATAATTCAAGTAATCCAGGAAAACCTTTTTTTGATGAGGTAATTGATCTTATTTAAAATAAACTAGATTAAATCATTTATTTTAAATTAATTAATTTATTTATATAATTAATTTCTGGCATTGAATTATTGTAAAATTAAATCAAACTCAATTGTTCAATGTTATGGTATAACTAAATTCCCAGAAAATGGAAATTATGTAATAGTGCTTATAATCAAGAAGGAAATTTAAGAGATTATATTCAAAAAAATCATTATAATTTAACATTAAAAGATAGAATTAATATTTTTAGAAGTTTATGTGAAGCATTAGATGATATACATGAAACAGATTTAATTCATTGTGATTTACATAGTGGTAATATATTATTGCAAGGAGGTACTTGTTATAACACAGATTTTGGATTATGTGGACCAGTTGATGAAAAATTATCAAATAAAATTTATGGAATTGTATCATATATTGCACCAGAATTATTTAA